GCAGTCTAAATAGCTTTCAACAGGGGTTCAGATAAATCAATTCTTTGTTACTATTTTTAATAGCTATGCAGCCAAATAAACTGGTGGTAAAAGCAATATATACTGATATTTAAAAATTTCCAAAATATATTGTTTTCTGCAATACTGTTATGTAACCCCTCTCTACTCCCCCAAGGAAGGAGGGGGGGCATCTGGAGCGGGATTACATAACAGTATTGTAGAAAAGTCCTGATTTTATTTAATAGAAAAAATGTCTGGAAAGTTAAAACACCAGAATTTTAACTATGGTTATTTCCTGACAATAGTACTAAATGTGAACTATTTTCTTCCTTATTCTATTTAATGAGCACCTACTAATTTTATAATCAGATTTTAAAATAGTCAACTTCAAAAATGTGCCCTGCTGATAAAAGTCCATTATAAAATTATATAACCACTTTTGAATCAAATACATTTGTGAAAATGCTAACTTTGAAAAAAGAACAAACCAAAAAAAAGAAAAAAAAAAAACAAAAACCTCACTCTTTCAGAGAATCTGGGAAAATATCACAAGGTAATGGGCAGTTATCACTGCAAAAAGTATTTAAAAATATACCCTGGGACTTTCAGAAAAAGAGTTCTGAGTCATGCAACCATCTCACTGAAAAGGTCCTTACAGATTATCTAGTCAAAACCTCTCATTTAAAAAATCAGAAGAGTGACACCCAGAGAGGTTAGGTGAGTTCTCCAAGATCACACAGTAAGTTACTGGCAAAGCCAAAAGTATTTATAATTCAGAACATACACTTTTTAATTCCTGTCTCAATTCCTCTGATTAAGACATGCTGTAGCCTCTTACTGCTGCTAAGACTACAGAATTCACTGCTGGAGAAAATGTCCAAGAAAAGGCAAGTGCTCATTTCACCAGAGTTTTCTTATCATTTGACTATAAATTAGATAGAAATGTTACAATATTGTGAAATGGAAAGTGTCTCTCTCTTGGTTAAATACAGCTTACAAATTCCATAAGAACATTTTGACAAACAGACATATGTTAGATGGTGATAAGTGGAAGCTGGCAAACTTTAGTATTCATAGACTTTGAGGATCTGAAAGTCTGTAAGAAAGAAAAAAGTATTACCAAATGTAAAATTTCAACTGTGCTGCAAGCTTTCCATATCTGAGTTATTGGGTTCATTCAATATACCATACTTTCATTCCTTTGGTTTATTCACTTTCTTTTAGAGGAGTTTTGAAGGTGCCTCTTTTTAAGTCAATATTAAATGTAATACGTTTTAAACATAACATGGTTTTCATACCATAAGTTGTAATTAATATTTGTAGACTTCACTGACACTTTACCCACCAGAGGGAGCCCATATGGATTTCCATGTAGTAAGAGACCTCAAACATCAAGTTTATGTGAATTCAACAATCACATTATTCATAATACAATCAATATTATAAAATCACTCAATAATATATTTCTATCCCCTGAAAAAGAGAAAAATTAAATGAAATCGGGCACATAAAGTCCTTAACTGAGTTCCTGACCTACAGCAGAAGCTCAAAAATGACTGAGTTTTCAAAATTTGTATCCTTCTGCACATTACTTATAGTGCTTACAACAAATTAACTGGTATTCTGACTTACACACAGGTTAATATAAGCTTGGCTGATATCTGCCCTGACAGATGGTTCTAGACCCAATATGTAAATAAATCTGGTTCTTGGGCCTCCAAAATGAAGCCAGCCCCTGACGGGAAGAATTCACTAAAAATGTCACACTGAGAAGACATGTTTCTGAAGCCCTACCCTAGTAGGTGATACACATAATAACTGGTCAACTGCCAACTCAAAAGTGAGGAAAGAGGGAACTCTTTGACACACTCCAGATTCTTCATGGCATGCAGGAGAAAATGAATCAACTATCCCCGAGAATCATGCTTCTACAACATGTGATATAATCACTACCCCCAGGATGAGTTTCATTCAAGAATAAAGAAAGCAGAACTGAGAATAACAGGAGAGAACCTGGCATCCACACGGGCCCTCCTGAGTCTCTACCCCCTTGTACTTCTCGCCACCATAAGGCCCAGCCTAGTGACAGCCGTATTGCTGAGGCAGGTCTCAATCTCCATGCAACTGGCTGGGCATAGGTACGTATGCACTGGGTATCTATTTTGTACTCAACTGTCTCCAAGGTCTAAATATAGCAAAGCTGAAGGACCCCATTGAGTTCCAGCTATGTTCTCCAATCCAGATTTATCAGTAAGCACTGCTGCTGGGGAGTTATCCACCACGTGCTGTCTTAATAAAACTTCAGTGTCCACTGGGCTCCTTGGATCTATTCTCTACTATTTAGAATTAAGAAGAAGGCATGAATAACTGGCACCCAACTCTAACCCTGAAAATGCTGTTATTGTAATCTTCTACCATTGAACTTTTCCAACCAGAAAACTGGGAATTACTTTACCTCCTCCTCTTTCTATTTCCACTAATTAGTTACTAAGTTTTGCTAAGTTTGCTGAGTCTACCTACTAAATACTAAATACCTACTTCATCTATTTTCTCCCACCCAGGCCAAACAAAATAACAGGCAAACTTTTGACACATCTAATCGTAGTGAAAGCACAGGACATCCATCACTAGCTCTTCTAAATTCCCACAAGAGAAGATGGGGAGTGGGGAATGGTTGGAAGAACAGGAGATAATACGCAAAGCAATGACAACACAAAATCAAAATTGCTTAAAAGAATGTATGTTTCCTCTACGTCAGGGGGACAGTGTCCCTGAATAACACAGCCCATGTACTCACTTAAGGTAATGTGACACCTACTCACATCAATACATAGCAGAATTGGAAGTTTCACTGTCATGCGGTCCAAACCTGTGGCATATGCACAAAGTTCTTCTCAAACATCTCTGAAAAGCAGTCATCACTCTGTTTAATTACTTCCAGTGACAGGGAACTCAGCACCCTACAGGACTGTTACTGTCCCTGAGGCCCATTAACTCAAAAGTCTAAAACACATTTTCACCACTCAGGGAGAGGTGGAAGTGATCACAGGGCTATTCAAAGGGCTTGCCAACTCAACTGTGCCTCTTGTCTCGACCATTCCCAAATCCCCCCTTTCCCTGAGCAGGACTCAAAATTAGCACAGTGTTCATAAATCAGTGGTTTCAGAGTTAGAAGGGACCCTTACAACGCCAATACTGTGATATTCATACCACAGTTCTACAAAAGGAACCCCAGGAAGTGCTTAGGCCAAACTGGGAGGGAGAGTGTCCTGTTTCTCTTCCTCTCATTTCAACCTAGGAAGCTTCCACTTTAATTTGTTATATATATGGAGGACCAAGGTAGTTTTTTAAAAGGAGGAGGAGAAAAAAAAGGACCATTTACAGGTAAATAAACTGAGGTCTTGACACTTGCTTAATGAAATCATATAGCTAACAGTTGCAGGGTTCAGACAACAACCTGGTCTCCTGGCTCCTTCTCTGGTACTTTCTCTACCATATAACATCTGACGGCCTAGAGGGCAAAATGCAAACTCCGCAGTGATACACAAAGCCCTTTAAGATCTCTCCCAGTCCAATTTTTATGAGAGTCCCACATACCAGTCTCACTCAAATGTTTATTGAACCAACTTATGTCAGACTCTTACACACCTCCACATCTTAGCGCATACTATTCTCTTAGCCTGAGATGCCCTTCTGCACTGGGGCCAACTAATCCTCTTTCAAGATTTGTTTTGGGCATCATCACCTCTATAAAGCCTTTTCTGATCCTCAGGTAGAACTGACCACATTCTTCTTTGTGCCCTACATAACACTTGCAAGGCTTTATGGCACTTGTTTTATGTCTATGTCCGTCTACTCCACTACTCCTTTTACATCATATTACTCTAACATGAGGCTGGTCAGAAAGTAGGTGCTTCATAGATGTCCATCAATAGGGAGAGTGTATTCATCTGGTCCAACCCCTTTCTGACGTTTAAGTATCCTCTGCTAACTGTCATTAATGCATGCATGCATACATTCATTCGAAAATATCTGAGTGTCTATGCAGTGCCAAGCGTATGCCAAGCAGAATAGGATTTACTGTGAAATTAACGAGGTTTTAGCTTCGGGGTCCCTCACTTCCATCTTCCAAAGCTCTGAATCTCTCTTGGTGATTTTTATTTCTTAAAGACGGCAGACATAACTATATAAACTTTCGGCCCCACAAAACCTAGATCCCTCCTTGGTGTCACGGACACAAAAGGGAACAAGACAAACATCTCTCCCCTCATGGAATTTTCTGTTTAACGGGAAAGACAGCCATTTTGTTCATTCATTCATTCAACAAACATTTACTAAGCAATGCTATGAGTCATGCATTGTGAGATGAAAACAACTGTTCCTGCCCTTAAGGAAAAGGTTCCTGTTCCCAGAGAGATGAAGGGACACCTGCTCTGATCAGGGAACAGAAAGTAGTTGAGATGACTGTAACACTGTGTTTGCGAAAGATGACCCTAAACTCGTCTCAAGAGGAACTGAGCCCTACTTATTGCGGAGACACAGGGAAGAAAGAGTTCGGTTGAATATGGTTTTTAATCTCAACTGGGGATGGGAGGCAGACAAGTAAAGAGCACAGGCAAATACGGTGTGGTCAGTTCTGCAACAGGAAGCGAAGGACAGTGAGGTTTCCCCTGAGTGCAAGTCTGTAGTGACGGCGAACTCATGACCTCACAAAGCCGCCCGTGCACTTTCCAGATAGAGATTTCTGAGGGTCTCCATCCTCGTCCCCCAACCCCCGCCGCCGCAGGAGAAATCTGTTCCCCAATATGCGTCCCCCTTCCTCAAAATAAGGCTGTTCCTTCCCCAAAAAGCTGTCCGGTCCCTGAGGCCAACTCTCCTGTCCCCCTTGGGGCCACCCCCTTCACACAATGCTTACGGGACGGGGTGTGGTTTGGGGCTCGGGGTCCCTGTCGCAGGACTGCCCCCTCCTCAACCCGCCGTTTCCATAGCAACCAGCTCACCACTTCGCGGGCCCGGCTGGAGAAGTCGCCCTTGGGCCGGGGGCTCCGGCGGAACAGCTCATCCCGGCTGCCATCGACCCCGCCGCCCACCGCCACTCCCAGCGCCTTGTTCCGCGTCTTCACGGTCTTGACGCTGGCCCGGAATAGCAGCGTGATGTCCACGGCCATAGCGACCCGTACCCGCAGCCCCACACTGGGCCCGCCCACGTAAGCAGCCGGCGACCGCGGCGAGAACCCAGCAGCTGGAGGACTGGTCCTGCCCCGCACTCCTCCCCACCGGCAACTGCGACGCGAGAAGAAAGGTTCCGGCCTGAGCCCGGCTACCGCGGCGGGAGGAAAAAGGTTCCGAACTCAGCGGCGCACCTGGCGGAGGAGGAACCCCGCGACGAGCTCACGGGTACCTCTTTCTCCCAGCAAAGCTTGGAGGGTTTAGCAGCGCGGAGAGCTCAGCGAGCTCTCCTGTGCTTTTTTGGGGCGTGTGGGCTCCGGGAAAGTGAGGACCGGGAAGCTGGGGGCTCCTTCCCTTCTGGTGGCTCCCTCACTGAGAGCGGGCGGTTTGGTTGCGGGGGACGTGGAGGCGAGCCACCCTTGACCTTTGACTGCAAGGACTCACCTTGAGCAGGACAGAGGCACTTGGACGGTGACCCTCGGGGTGCAATAAGTGCTGAGACAGAGCAGTTGTGCAAGGCATAGAGCTAGAGGCCAGAGGTCTTTTTTCTCCAACCTTCAGTCACCTCTTTGTAAAGTGAAGCCGGCATCCTCCTCGGAGTTTACTGTGAAAATTAAGTGAGCTGACGCGTGCTGTGTTTTCATGTTGCTTGGCTCCTAGTAAGTGGCCAATAAATGGTAGTAATCGTTAATAATGTTATTATTATAATCACTCTTATTTGTGGTGATGGAAGAGGCTGTAGAGAAAAGGCGTCACCTGTGCAGAGATTTGAAGGATGAATAGGAACTTTAGATGGAGGCAAAGGTGAAAGAGTGGCCCTAATGTCGCTGGATTCTGTTCTTCCTTCATGCATAGTTTTTAATTGTACCGTCTTGAGCCATAGCTATTAAAATTAACAAGTCAGTCAATGAGTTTCTTCTGCATTTTGGTTCATGGTTCTGTTTTGTGTTGTTTTTTGAGATGGGGGTCTGCTATGTTGCCCAGGCTGGATTGCAGTGGCTATTCAGAGGCGCCATCCTAGCTCATTACAGACTGGAACGCCAGGGCACAAACGATCCTCCCCGGCTCCGCCTCCTGAGTAGCTGGAACTGTAGGCACTTGCCACCATGCCTGGCCTAAGGATATTCAAAATCTCATTGATTTCTTCAAGATTTTTTTTTTTCATAAAGAGGATGCACAAGTAGAATGTGTATTAAAATAGTGGTTTTAATGGTCATCAATATAAAAATATTTTCATAATACTAAGATGTTATTTGCCTTTTCACTCTCACTTTCTCATGAGTTGCATACAGTTGAGTTTGCTAGACTGTGATATTGCAACGGAATAAATGCAGAACAGCTGTTTTCTATTAAGCCAGACTTCAAAAAAAAGATTTTCAAAAACATCAAAAGTTTTTAATTTCTCATATAGTGAATGTCGATAATGTCAATATAAACAAAAATTGTTTAGAGCTCTTAATAATTTTTAAGTGTGCAAAAGAGTTGAGACCAAAAGTTTGAGAACCACTGTGTTAAAGAAATAAAGTTTATCAGAAATAGATGTCAAGAAAGTGTATATTTACCAGAAAGGAGGAAGGAAAAGTTTTTTTTTTTTTTTAGACGGAGTCTTACTCTGTCCCCCAGGCTGGGGTGCAGTGGCACGATCTCGGCTCACTGCAAGCTCCGCCTCCCGGGTTCACCATTCTTCTGCCTCAGCCTTCCCAGTAGCTGGAACTACAGGCGCCCGCCACCACGCCCGGCTATTTTTTTTGTATTTTTAGTAGAGATGGAGTTTCACCGTGTTAGCCAGGATGGTCTCCATCTGCTGACCTTGTGATCCTCCCGCCTCTGCCTCCCAAAGTGCTGGGATTACAGGCGTGAGCCACCTCACCTAGCCAGGAAAAGATTATTTAAACCCAAACTGTAGCCACTTCTTGCAGTTTAAGGAAAATGAATTTCCATACAGCTTTCTTCCACCTACTGCGGAAAAGAGAAAGAAATTACAAAACCTCTGCCAATGATTCTATCTTGCATAAATGGCCCTTTGTTTAATCCAGACATTAATCAGTTTTTGGCTATGCAAAGTTAAGCTTGGGGCAGAGTAGAAGGAAAGAGAGATTGCCCTGCATAGTAAAGTGAGGGGGATTGAATTGAGGGGAGAAAAAGAGAAGCCAGAACCCAGGGAGGGGGCTAGGAAAGTACAAAGTAGGTAACTGGGAAGGATCCTTGAGTGGGAGGGAGGCTGAACTACATCAAGCCTTCAGTGAGTGGTGCCTTGTGTGAACAGCGTGTTTGTTGCAGTTGGATATTTTGGGTAGAAGGGTAGGGACAAAAATCTAAGTTTTCTGTCTGGATTTGCAAGAGCAGAGAAGATTGTGGTGGATATAACACCCAAGTTGAGCTCAAAACATCAGGTTGTAAATCCACAAGTGACCACAGTGCATAAAATTCCTAGATAAGTCACAAAGATCTTGAGGTGGCTGCTGAACTTTCCACAGACCGTGGGATATGGGGTTGCGCTTTTTAAATTTTGTGTTTATTCTTTAATTTCAAAGAGCAAAGTGACTTCAGTTGACAGTTGACTAATAACTATATTAAGCCCCATAAAGCTGAGAGGGGATGTGGATTAAAAGGATGAGCAGAAATATAAGAGTATACTACTGCATCTCCAGGGTTCAAACGATCCTCTCGGCTCAGCCTCCTGAGTGTCTGGGACTATAGGTGCGTGCCACCATGCCTGGCCTGTTGGATGTAGTACTCAACTGCCCAGTTGGATGTAGTACACAAATTATGTTTTCTTTATGCATTCAGCAAACATTCATTGGGCCAGACACTGTTCTGAAAAATACACAGTCGACTCTTGAACAACACAGGCTTGAACTGCATGCGACCACTAATACTCAGACTTTCTTCTGCCTTTGCAACCCCTAAGACAGCAAGACCAACCCCTCCTGCTCCTCAGCCTACTCGATGTGATGATGGTGAGGATGAAGACCTTTACTTTCTGATGATTCACTTCTATTTAATGGATAGTAAATTTATTTTCCCTTCTGATTATTTTCTTAATACCATTTTCTCTAGCTTACTTTATCGATAGGATACAATATCTAATACATATGACATACAAAATATGTGTTAAGCGACTGTTGATGTTATTGATAAGGATTCTGGTCAACAGTAGGCTATTATTAGTTAAGATGTTAGGGAGTCAGAAGTTATACACAAATTTCCAACTGTGAAGGGTGGAGGAGTCATCAAGGATCTACTGTATTGGCATCCCTAAATATTGCTCCCTACAGCAGAAACTCCTATACAAGGAGACTAGATGTAGGCTGCCAGTGAAAACCAACGTCTCATTTCTGGGCAGCGAATTTAGGAGCTAATGTATGATTCACCATGCTCTCTTTTCCCTCTGCTGTGACAACCCCTAATGTTCCAATGTTCCATCAGCCTGAGTCCTTAAGTAAATATGACATGGAGCATAGCCAACCAAGGACATTGTATTGGTCAGAGTTCTCTAGAGGGACAGAACAAATAGGATAGATGTATATATAAAGGGGAGCTTATTAAGGAGTATTGACTCACACGGTCACAAGGTGAGGTCCCACAATAGGCCATCTGAAACATGCGGTGTTTGGTTTTCTGTCCTTCCGATAGTTTGCTAAGAATGATGGTTTCCAGCTTTATGCATGTCCCTACAAAGGACATGAACTCATCCTTTTTTACGGCTGCATAGTATTCCGTGGTGTGTATGTGCCACATTTTCTTAATCCAGTCTATCATTGATGGGCATTTGGGTTGGCTCCAAGTCTTTGCTATTGTGAATAGTGCCACAATAAACTTACGTGTGCATGTGTCTTTATAGCAGCATGATTTACAATCCTTTGGGTATACACACAGTAATGGGATGGCTGGATCAAATGTTATTTCTAGTTCTAGATCCTTGAGGAATCGCCACACTGTCTTCCACAATGGTTGAACTGGTTTATACTCCCAAAAACAGTGTAAAGGTGTTCTTATTTCTCCACATCCTCTCCAGCACCTGTTGTTTCCTGACTATTTAATGATCGCCATTTTAACTGGTGTGAGATGGTATCTCATTGTGGTTTTGATTTGCATTTCTCTGATGGCCAGTGATGATGAGCATTTTTTCGTGTGTCTGTTGCCTGCATAAATGTCTTCTTTTGAGAAGTGTCTGTTCATATCCTTTGCCCACTTTTTGATGGGGTTGTTTGATTTTTTTCTTGTAAATTTGTTTAAGTTCTTTGTAGATTCTGGATATTATCCGTTTGTCAGATGGGTAGATTGCAAAAATTTTCTACCATTCTGTAGGTTTCCTGTTCACTCTGATGAAACTACCATCTTTTGCTGTGCAGCTCTTTAGTTTAATTAGATCCCATCTGTCAATTTTGGCTTTTGTTGCCATTGCTTTTAGTGTTTTAGACATGAAGTCCTTGCCCATGCCTATGTCCTGAATGATATTGCCTAGGTTTGCTTCTAGGGTTTTTATGATTTTAGGTCTAACATTTAAGTCCTTAATCCACCTTGAATTAATTTTTGTATAAGGTGTAAGGAAGGGATCCAGTTTCAGCTTTCTACATATGGCTAGCCAATTTTCCCAGCACCATTTATTACATAGGGAATCCTTTCTGCATTTCTTGTTTTTGTCAGGTTTATCAAAATCAGATGGTTGTAAATGTTTGGTATTATTTCTGAGGGCTCTGTTCTGTTCCACTGGTCAATATCTCTGTTTTGGTACCAGTACCATGCTGTTTTGGTTACTGTAGCCTTGTAGTATAGTTTGAAATCAGGTAGCGTGATGCCTCCAACTTTGTTCTTTTGGCTTAGGACTGTCTTGGCAGTACAGGCTCTTTTTTGGTTCCACATGAACTTTAAAGTAGTTTTTTCCAATTCTGTGGAGAAAGTCATTGGTAACTTGATGGAGATGGCATTGAATCTATAAATTACTTTGGGCAGTATGGCCATTTTCACAATATTGATTATTCCTATCCATGAGCATGGAATGTTCTTCCATTTGTTTGGCATTGACACTCAATATTAACCATCACAGACATGTACTAAGATTGAGAATTGTCCACAGATTTGTGGGTGTTT